AAGAAAATCGATTATGTCCGAAGATTATTTGCTTCCTGAAGTCTTGAATAGAATAAGTCCTCCAAGGGCGACGGAATACCCGAACACTTGAAGGGGGGTGATGACGCTCCCGAAGATAAGCACGGATCCGGTTATTAGCAGGATGTCCTAATAACAGGAGGCGCACGTGTGTGAGTATCGTGAAGACATACGGGGAATAAGGGGGGAAGGGTCAATGAAAAAAGTACGAACCTTGAACACGCCTGCAAGGGTTAGGACAAGTCCACTTCCTACGCCAACGAGGAAAACGGCTGCAACATTAAGGAGGAATGCGACAAGCGCGTTAGACAGGAGGATAAAGGGTCCGAGAGTTGGCAGTTCTCGGAAGGGGGCGAGGCCTGACAAAGTGGAGCGTTAGTGTGAGCTGAACGGAATGATGACAAGAAAGAAATAGTGCGATGAATGGGATTTCGTAAAGTAACGGAAGTCAGTGGAGGCAGTAATGGTCACATGGTGTCATGCACCAGAAATGATTGACAAGCTGTGCGCGGTGACACAGAGGGAGGAGTAACGAAATTGACAGTGACGATAAGAATGAGTGAAGCGCGGCAAAAGAAACAGAAAAGGATGGGTGATAGGAACAAAATAAATGCCGGCTCGACAGGAACAGGAACGACATGAGGAAGGAACACAGGGCGGAAAAATAGAACGTTCATCGGAAAGAAGGAATCGGTGCGCACCTTCGGTGAATGGAATTAGAAGGAGGTTAATGCCAGCGCAGACGGGGGCGTAGTAGTGCAATGAAACGAGAGGGTCCATCTTGAGATTATGCAAGAGGGTTTGGATAAGGACTAGCCGAGATGCTTCGAACTATCATGAATAAAATAATTTTAGTTATGCTTAAATATGAATGCAGGAGAATGAAAGGCACGCACGAGGACTGCTGCTGCCTGCACCAGGAAGCCACCGAGGTGGAATCGAAGTTCACCATGTGAAGCGAGCGCGACACCAACAGATATCATGCAGACGATGAGCAAGAGTTTTCGGTTGGGATCTTGGAGACGAGCGCCCCAAGATATTATAAGAATTGCAACGGGTGTGAAAGCCTGTGAATGAATGGTTATTAGTTGAAACCGATGTTCGAAGTGTAACACATACTTTGAGCATTTGAATATAGGATACGCTGAGGTAGAGGTATGCTGTGTTGCTGAGGACGAGACTACCAGAGAAAAGGAAGCCGATGGGGAGGATCTTCGTCAAAAAGAGAGTACGGTCCATATGGACGTCTTTGGTCCCGTCGAGGAGACGTGTCGTGCGTTGAAGGATGCGAGTACCAACGGCTGCGAAGGAGAGATGCCATGTGACAGTGAAGACTGGATAACGGAAGTCAAGGGTATTGTAGAGGTAGTTGTTGTAGATGATAACTGAGGAGGAGAGAACGATCCAGATGGGGATGATTGTCGTCGCTGTGAGCTTTGGTTTGGGGGGCGCTGCTGAGGCCGGTGTTGGGAGAGCAGCATACGACGACAAAGCCTCTTTGTGGTCGACTTCGTCGAGCTCTAGGGTAGCAGGGAGGGACTTGTAGTCAGAGGGCATGGTGGTACAAGAGAAAGAGGCAACGACGCCCCCTTGGAATGAAATAAAACGCCAAAAATGAAATCTACACGTGCCAATCAATATTTCTCGTCGACATCAAAAGACCCCGGACTCCCCTTTTCCCATATCCCACCATGTCCAGTCTTCAGGGTTATGTCGACCGTATGCTTTCCTTTCATTTCACTGTCATTTTTTTTTGCATTGCATTCATACTCGAACATAGATCGTGTCCTAATCATCCTGCAAGATGGTCGTTCCATAGTCGGAACTCTCGCTGGCTATGACCAAAAATCAAACGTCGTCCTCGCTGATTCCAAAGAACGCGTGTATAGCACTGACGAAGGTGTTGAGGAGATCCCATTAGGTCTCTATCTCGTAAAGGGTGACATGATGTATGTCTCTTTACGCGTTTTGAAACGGCAGGCATCCATGTAACACTGACCTGTCTTTCAGCGTTCTGATCGGAGAGATCGACGACGCCATTGACTCTGCTGTTGACTTATCTACAATCCGGGCAGAGCCTATCCCTCCAATCCGTTATTAATGTCAATGGCATGCATCCACCTTCCAAAAAAACAAAAGTCCATGCCTTATATGGCCTGACGTGACTGTTAATTCTGTAACGGTTTTTTTTTGCCTTACGAAAACAACACCGATACGACCTCTTCGAATGGACGGATTACCCCGTGTACATTATATTCGTTATTCAACCGGAGCTGCGTCCGACGAGTAAAAAGAAGTGAGGTGGGATGGATAGGGACTTGCAATGTTTTTAATGAACGTTGGTAGGTTACCTCCTCTGGCGCTCTGTGTAATTTACTGTATCAGAATGGCAATGCGCTTGTCAAGTTCAAATTTCTTGATGCTGTCTTCCGAATCACCCTCTGGAAGCTTTATCCATCCTGCCTACGCAAAAGCTCGACTATCGTCTATTAGAGTCGAATCGAATCACAGCGAGAAGAACTATGTCTCCGATCTTGAGCAACAGGATCAAGGTCCCACAGCAGAGTGTCACATATTCCGAAATATAGGTATGTGAAAAATTACATGTTGAACGTATTACTTGTCAACGTCCCCAGTCGATTCGAACGACCAATTGAAGGACAGGTAATCGGTCTACTCACTTTAAATTGAGTGAAGCCCTATAACCGTTGAGCTTAGAAAAGCTCACACTTATTCAAACAGAAATCTGATTCTACTGCAACTTCGAAATAACTTCTTTGTAGAATCTGGCTCGAACCTTTAATTCTTGGGCGTTGATTCGAACAACTTGCCCCTTCGCTCATAGGCTTCCTTTCTGTACCACCAGTCCTGGCATGATGAAACGAGCGGTTGGGGTTCAGCGCTCAGCTTCTGCTGGTATTTCCACTTCGTGTTGCTTGCTCTAGAACAATAATCGTAGGTATGTGAAAAATTACATGTTGGCTCTTCCCGACCTAAAAGCGTCCCCAGTCGATTCGAACGACCAATCTCATTGAAGGACAGGTAAGCAATATACTGAGTGAAGTGGTATAACCGTTGAGCTTAGAAAAGCTCACACTTATTCAAACAGAAATCCGATTCTACTGCAACTTCGAATAACTCCTTTGTAGAATTACCTGCGTGGCCCCGAACCCCTTTGAAAAAGGGTACCCTTGTTTGACCTTCAAGAGCTCCATTCTTGGGCCCAGCGGTGTCAACCACTAGTCGCCAAGTACTACTAGAGTATCTCGCCGCTTGGCTGAGAACGTTGATCTACTCCGTAGAAGAGGACATTTGAAACCCGGAATCAACTATAATAGGTGCGAGGAGCGAGTGGAGTATCTCGCTGCTGAATCCCTTATGACTATCATATTGTGGTTCGCAAATACAGAGAAAACACATGTACAAGTCGGAGGTGTCGTCGTCGTCTTCTGCTAGTGGTAATACAAAAAGGACATTGTGGATGTTATAATCATTGTTCATGATGATAATAATCGCGCGGAATAGAGAGTGTGGCGGAGGTAGGCTGATGATGAAGGATGTGCACCTGCAAACCAATTTGTCGAATTATCATTCGTACATAAGACATATTCCTCAACCTCAATAGCAGTTCTCCGCATTGGCAACACTAATACCTTGGAAGAATTTGAAGCGAAGCAAAAAATTTGTTAACTAAAAAAAGTGAGACGCTCTAGAGGTAGTTCCCTCTAGCCGACTTGAACGACTGACCTCGTCATGTATTTCTGTATCGTACATACTAGTGACGCGCTCTACCACTGAGCTAAGAGGGACATATACACATAAGAGTGATCAAGAACTCTCACAAATCGATTTCGGAAGAAAGGTTGAGGAAAGAGATTTTCCGATGTCCGATCATCCGGTGCTTGGACAAAACCTTTCTTCCGAAGTTGATTCTGAAAAGCTTCCGTATACACGTGAGGTATATGTCCCTCTTAGCTCAGTGGTAGAGCGCGTCACTAGTATTTCCGAGATATACATGACGAGGTCAGTCGTTCAAGTCGGCTAGAGGGAATTGAGCCAGGGATCCATTTGTGATTCACATTTTTTTGGAAGATCTGTCGTAGGCCTTGAATATCTTCCGAAATTGATTCGACAAAGCTCTCAAATCCTTCTGAAAGATAGATCCCTCTTAGCTCAGTGGTAGAGCGCGTCACTAGTATTTCAGAGAAAAGAACTTTATGACGAGGTCAGTCGTTCAAGTCGGCTAGAGGGAATGGGCCTCGACTGTAAAATTGAAAGTTTTTGTTGCGGCAAATTGTTGTGCATGTACTTCCTCCAAAAGGTAAGGCTGAGATGAACCAACATGAGTAAATGACTCATTTCTGGTAGTTGGCTCACACCTTCAAATTCTTCACATACTCTCGCATTCGCAGTGACACCTCAAATCCATCCCAAAACGTTTGGCTAAAATTATCGCGATCGGCGTCGCGAGCAATGCGCTATCAAGTAGGTATTAAGTATTATGTATTATCTCTTGAGGAGAAGTGCTTATGTTTTGGATTTGTTCCGGCATGCGCCACACAATGCGAAATCATCGGTCCTTGTGCCTACTGGGTGGCTAGCCTCGTAGACATGGAAATGATGTCCCGAGTGCATGCAAAACTTTTGGAACCGTTATACCCAGAGTGCCCCCTAGCCGATTTGAACGACTGGCCTCGTCATGTACGAAGTACAAGTGACGCGCTCTACCCCTGAGCTAAGGGGGCTCTGAGATTAGGAGAGTTCTATGTGTATTAGCGAGAATGAACAGCGACGACATATAGTACATCAGTAGATGTTATCAAAAGAATAACGAATGATGGCACTGTGCCCCCTAGCCGATTTGAACGACTGGCCTCTTCATATGCTCTTGAGAATACGAGTGAAGCGCTCTACCACTGAGCTAAGAGGGCTATGCTTAGTGCCTTGCGATGGTTGGAACATGTCGTAGGGGGTGTACCAAGATTCACAATGCGCCACAAAAATTGCAGTGAGACAATTTGTCAGTGCCCCCTAGCCGACTTGAACGACTGACCTCATCATAACATACGAGTGATGCGCTCTACCACTGAGCTAAGGGGGCGCTTTCATTGTATTGATTTATAGACATCATGATCGTGTCAGCACCTTTTTCGGATCGATGATGACGAATCATGGGCGCCTAACCAATTTTTTTCTCTTTCACTACCACATAGAATCTATAGGTTATGACTCAACTTTTCTCGACTGCGACTTAATATCTGTGCTCTACATCTCGTTCCTTTTGCCGACCATGCCACCTCCAATGAAATTAGCAATAATCGGCGGCGGGCCGTCTGCATTTTACGTTGCATCCAGATTGCTGGCGTTGCATCCACAAGACCACAGGCAGAAGATGAGAGTACATTTGTTGGACAGACTTTGGGCTCCTCATGGACTGGTTAGGTATGGTGTAGCACCTGATCATCCGGAGGTTAAGGTATGTGTTGTTCC